TATGATAATAATAATAATAATAATAATAATAATTTATTCTCAAATAACAAACATGTTACAAGAGACATGCCAATTTACAGGCAAGATCAAAATGTTAAGATTAACAACATATTTCTTTTAAGACGGTATACATTTACTGAAACATTTCACAAGATTCATTGTGTTCTTAAAGATGGAATGTTCAATGCGAATAATTGGCGCAAGTTACGAAGGTTGCGTTACGACAATCATCTTATGGACTGAGAAACGATTCATGGTAGAGATAGGTTTGCATATAACAAGAATTGATGCGGTAAATGTACAAAGGTATGGTTGATATTCATCAGCTAATGATTTTACATGTTCTTGGGTAGGGTAACCAAGTCTACTGCAAATATCCAGACTAATATATGAGGAGTGGAATAAGGTTCTGAAAAAAGAGGAATAAAGAAGACGGGACGAGGAGCGGAACAGAAAATACGTTTATCGATAAAACAAAGGTATGTTTACTCAGACTTTTTCAGTGTCATTACTGTACACCTGCACTTATGTAGGTTAATGAAGACAAATTATTGGTGAGATAACTATTAGGAAGTTAGTCGAAAGAATAGAGGAAATTCAGAAGTACCAAGTTGTTAGTAATAATGTTGATTTACAAAATATAATAAAGAGGCTCAGTGATATAATTTTTTGTTTTATATATTCTTTTTCTTTTTAACTCTGCAGCTCAAGAAATTATGAATGAGCTCTTTTTTAGTATAGTTATCCAGACCAGCTTGTAATAGGATTTCTCGGTAGGAAGTAAAAACCAGTGCAAGGTTACAGACATGAGTTGTAGACGAGGTTAACAAGGAAAAGTAACATCAATATCACTGATTTGTTACATCCTGCCATATCGTAAGGAGCCGTAAGCAAACAAAATGTTCTGCCACACAGACATGGGTAGATTGAGGTTATCGCCCCACCGTCATGAATGCTGGTCAGATACACCACCCTCCCTCCTTTTGTGATGTTAGGCTCTCTTACGTTTAATGGTTGATTGTAAATAATGGTCTCTAGTCTACTCTAATTTTTTTGTAAACCTTATCGGAATTCACTTTCTCTACTAGCTCCATATTACAAGCCATCCAGATAACTTCGCCAGAGAAAATATCCACGAAGCATATCACACTGATTTTAAGTAAACGAATGGTATGATTTGTAAGATGAGTCAGTCAATAGATAGTTTGGAAATAGGAAGGACAGGTAGCTGGAACGAGGAGAAGGAGAAAAAAAAGAGTTGAAATAATGTTAAAAATTAATGAGTAAAGCGATAAGTTGGTAAGCAGGCAAGGTGTTTGGATGTTAATGAATTGGGGAAATAAAAATTAGTTAAACTGTTAATACGTAAATAAGAAGATACTCACAATGATACATGGTGTTTGAGTTCCTTGTAATTGACAGTAGTTGATCAGCATCTACAGGCTTGTCAATTTGTCTGTCTACTAGAAATAAAAACTAAAACTGCTATGAAGATATGAAAATAATGATTGGAATTTAAAAGCAGAGAAAAGTCACGGTTAACACCTCAAAGGCGTAACCTGTTGCTGTTAGTAGGAGCAGGGGGATTTGTCTACCATTTCATGATACATGTATGGGTGGTAATGAGAACACAATATGGTCATAGTCTATAATTAGTCTCTGAGGTTCATCTAAATATTTGGTGGACCATAAAAGAGTGCCTGGGGACTTTGTGTGAGTTCTGGGAATAGTCGATAAATCTCTTTAGAATCTAGCAACAGCATAACTAGTTTCTTGAACTTAGTGATTGTGTCACAGATACGAATAGCGATTGGTAACCTGTTCCACAGTAGACTGTATCGTATTACAAAGAAATTAGAACGCAATGATTTTTTGTGTTTTGCCGTTAATAGTGTATATGCGTTGTTTCTAAGTCTGTAAGCAGTGTCTTGGTTTATATTTGGGCGGTATTTTACGAACGAAAGACCATTTATTAGTTTATAGAGGAGCATTAGGTTGTTTTTGAGACGACGGCGCCATAGAGGTTCTAGGGAAAGATGCTTGCATCTTTCTGTGTAGTCGAGGTTATTGCTCAATCCGAGTAGTCGCCGGGTGAAGCTTCTTTGTACATTTTCTACTCGCATTTTGTCCATGATATTCATGTTTGAAAATATGAGTGAACAATATTCAAGTGTGGGCCTTATACAGATTTTGAAGAGAGTAAGCTTAGCCTCACTTGTGAAGAAGTTCTTGTTTATAAACCCAATTAGTCGTCTAGATTTAGAGATAATATTTGAGGCATGTTCTTCGAATTTTAGGCTTTTAGAGTAACTAATACCAAGGTCACGCGCTGATATGAGTGTCTGGACCCTACATTTTTGTAAGTAGACTGGTGAATCAAGGTGATGCTTGCCAAAATGCATTATGCCACATTTGTTGTGGTTAAACGGCAGTTGCCATGTCTCGCTCCAGGTACTTAAGTTATCAAGATCACTCTGAATCTTAGCTATATTTTCGTCCAGATCTTCAGGCTTATAGCTGTATACTATTTTCAGATCATCAGCATATAAGTATGCTCTTCCAAATTTTATAGTATTACATATGTCATTAATGTACATTAGAAACAAGAGTGGACCTAAGACACTTCCCTGGATAACCCCACTGGTTATTGGTCTTGGTGATGAAAGACAGTCATTGTACTTTATCATTTGTTGTTGTGTGTTCTAAAGAAGGGCGTGAAGTAGGAATATAGGCTTGATTGTTATGGTCAGTTAGTTTGGGAGCGATATAGTTAGAGGGAGAAAGGTATTCAGAGACAGGCATGGTAAGAGAAGCATGTGAAGCAGGAAATGATAAGTGTCGTTCGGCAGGGTTAACTGATGACTCCCAAAGAACAGATGAGGAAGTCGCTAGGGGGCATAAGGGTGGATCGTTTCGTAGGTCCATTGGATTAGGTATAGTGGGGTAAGTCAAATCTTTGGACAATGTGAGAGGTGGTTTGTCAAAAGGACCAGACATAAAAGTATTGCAGCGAGAAGGAGCAGATAGCGGCAAAGACTGATTGTCATCCATTACATCACAGAATTCAGAGCACAACTTGAAGGAGGAGGAAATATCGCCCTCAAATGATGAAGTTTCATCACTTTATAGCGAATCGAATAATATACTACTTCGCGGGATAACAAAAGTTAGACCTGTTACTCTAAGAATTAAATAAAAGACGATCCTAAAGGAAGAAGTATATTGATATCGAAATAATATCGAGGCCAGAGGGCGTTCAAATGGCTAACGTCCACGCAGGAGACGTGCGAAGAGGAGAATAGGAATAACACGCTTCGCGCGCGAGAGGTATTCTTTAGTACAGATAAACAAGTTGTGTACAATAAGACAGTTATTGTCAGAATTAAATACAATAATAAATGTTTATATTTCAGCAATTTTGTTTTCTTCGTAAAAGTATACGATTACAACTTCATCTGTTGATTCGCCATTCTTATCTAGCACCCTTTTCCTAACAACAGCATTGCTTACTTGGCTGTTCCACGATACTGGAGCAATTCTTCAGAGACACCTATGATCAAAAACCAATAACCGACGAATATCTTCCACTCTCACTGGCCATGTTTCACAGCCATAAAGTAAGACGGAGCGAACTGCTGCACAATACACTCGTCCCTTGGTTGGCAAACGGATATCTCGCCTGCGCCATAAGTGACGCAGGTTGGCAAAAGCCAATCGAGCCTTCTGTATCCGTGCTGAAATTTCGTCAGTCACCAGGCCATCGGCACTGATGAGACTCCCAAGATAAGTGAAGTGGTCTACACGCTCAGCTGATTCACTCCCTAACATCAGTTCAGGGGAGTGAAGCTTATAACAACAAATTTCTTCATTAAAACAATCACATTCACTTCACTAAAAGGGATTTACTAAAAGAGTATGGTTTCTTCCTAGCAGTCGCCGCGTGAAGCTTCTTTGGACATTTTCTACTTGTATCTTGTCTACGATATTCATAATCGAAACCGCATAAGCCATCTATATTTAGAAATAAAGAAAAGGCATGTTCTTATTGTAATCATATACGGTTAGAAATTATACTTCAATACTTATACTTCAATTATACAACAATACGAAGTTACCGCAGAGGTATCAAATCCGATATGGCTGCAGCCATTTTAAGTATCAATTAAAACAACTCATTTACAGTTCAGCAGGAAACATATAAACACCAATAAGAGTACAGAAAATAGGAACTATAACAAAATACAAATATCAACATCCCAATTCTTCTGTACTCTTATTGTTAGTGTTTGAATTATCATTTAACCTCGTTATTTTTGCAAGAATTTCAAATTTAAGTTGTGAGGCACTGCAAAGAGAAAAACTGATCCTAAAATGCAGGTACAGCGTTCCGTCTAAAACCGAAAGGAACGTGTAAATCAAAAATGGGTTATGTGAGGCTTCAAACGCTCGTTACACCTGAAATGTAAAGCCTAGGTTCATAGGTAAAACAAAACCTACGATCAACTGCCTCTGTGCTCACAAAAGTTCACATGGTGAAGATCACACCAGCTTACAAATGGCTGGGTTCCTTATACCTACTTCACCGACGAGTACAACCGGGAATCGACAAACTTAAGGAATCACTCAACTCCAGGATCAGTAGCTGACCTGTGGGATATCGGACTTAGTCCGTGCGTTCAGACAAGTCTACAGGAAGTGATATCATCCGCTATTTAATCCTAAAACCTCGTGCCCAAGCTGTCGGTTCGCCGGCATGCAACCAGTTCAGGCATTCAGTGGAGTCACATTAACTTTCATCTCAATGGAAACAAGCTATTCTCTCTGCGACAAGGAACATTTTCTTGTTACAAACTAGTAGGATCACCACAAATACTGTTGGTGATAGGAGGCCTTGTCAATGAACTAATGGAGTATTACATGGAGCCCAACACGGATTGAAGAAAGGCAGGTTGGGCTCATGCAATCTATTAGTACAAGACTGCTGGACAACCTACTGGGACAACAAATAATGATTTATATAATATCACAGGATTTCTCGAAAGCTTTTGACACGATTCCCTTCTTACTCCTGATAGCGAGGATGGGCTTCGTTCTGCAAACCTCCATCTTGGCAGCGAAACTACCTAGAGAACAGGACGTTTCACACCAGGGAAAATAGAGTGAATGCGAGCTAGTATCTCAACATTTGGAGTTTCACAAGAGACATCTTTAGGTCCACTCTTCCTCCTGTTACTTATTAATGACGTAAGAATAGCCCAACCCTGAGGTTCGTGAGATTGTTGTGCCCCTCTTACTAAAAGCCATATGGCTTTCTGAATACGTGTGTGGAAATGAAGAAGTAATTGAAAGATGGGGTTCAAAAGTGAACCTGACTAAGATAAACTCTATCACTTTATATTAGTCTTACTGAGTTATAAGAGAATAAGAGGTGGTCTGGTCATAGCATATGGCTAAATCACCCCTAAATCAGGATCCTACCTAATCGTCATTGCCACGCCCCTTGAAGTAACCGTCAAAAAATTGCAGATCAGTGAGTAAAAATCCTGGAACGCGCCCAATTTTTCACTTTGCAGGTAGTCCCTGCTTTGAAGGCTCTCCAAGCCGAAATGATTACAGCCCGCTCAGTGTACAGCTTCAAGACGAGACTTGGGAAACAAGTACTCACATACGAATTATATACCACTCTCGGACCAAATGTGTCTGATGCATTTCTCGAAGTTTGTTTGGTGTTGTCACTATCAAATCCTCAGAACACTAACTTATTCCACGTCGCTTATTTTCATCACTGTTTCCTTCCCTTTAAACTTCGGTCACCTCACACCATCTGATTTGTTTATTCACTTATTTAATTCTTTCTGAAACATTCGTCTTCGACATAGCAATAGCATTTTCTTATTATTATTCACCGCAATGAAAAAACTGATCTTAAACCTGGAAAATGAAAGCTGCTGGTATCACGAGCTTGCTCGTGAATAAGATATAGGATATTGGAGTCCATTATCTATCTATTAATTAAAGCGCAAATGAATCACAACCTGAAAACCGGTTAGCATCAATCTATAGTGATGAGCATGACAACAATATTACATTAACGGTATGTCAATCCAAATGTATGGAACTGTGCCAAAACAATAGGAAACGAGAGCAAAGAATCACTCAGTTTATACTAGCTGGTGATAGTGAAGATAAGTATTGAAACTTGCGTGGTCGATGTAACACAACTACTCACAGGAATATATTGAATATTGCATCTTAGAGGCGCCTAGAATAATAGTCGGCTCACGGTACGTCGCCAACACCTTGCTATCTGGATTTGTGGTATAGATTTCCAGACGTTATAAATTTCATGCTCGTTTCTAAATTTATTTAATATTATTTGGTGCATTCTACCTAACTACATAGCATTTGCTTTACCCTATTTGTTGTCTCAAGATTATCTCGCTGATCTGCATCCTCCCTTGGCAAACAATCTTGTTTGGCTGAACACCGACCTTTCAAAAAGTGAAAACTACATCAATGTTGAACGCTAGTTCTGCCGTGCCTCCTCAAGAAGTAAATACAGCTCAAACATCTCTATCAGAGGAAGAAAAAGCAAGACTACAAGTTGAATTATCTCAGGTAATTTCTGAGGTGTTTTGTCGATAAAAAACTTAACGATCACAATTACGATTTTTCATAGTCCCTGTCTTTTTTATGTTCACTCAGCTAAGTTTATTGTAGGAATTCACAAACCATTCTGGGTGCCTCAGCTGCTGTTATCGTTCTTAGATGGAGAAAAGTATTATTACAAGCGATGGTAGAAGCCTAGATATATTCCTCGTATTATTGTCATTTCTGGTCCGTTTTATATCCTTTGCTGTTATTATCTTAGATGTCAACTAAATAACAATAAGAATGCCTTTAGTGTTGAAAAACGTTCTAAGTGATGAATTCATTGTTTACCTAAGTGTGCCAGTTCACCTTGATAACTTTTGTTCCCAACCAGCAGTAACTTCATAAACTACATATGGATTGGCAGGCTATAATATCGAGCCACTGATGGATCAAATTAAATCATATCATTGCTCATCTTATCTCATTGTTCTCCTTGTGATATCAATGTTTCCTTTTGTCCCTTGAAGGATTTTGAAGACATAGAGTCCCCCTCCCTATTTGTGTAAAAAAACATCGGATATTGCCAGGTGAACTAATTAAGCAGCTCTTAAAATGGAGAAGGTGTTTTAACTATCATTCCCCGTCAAGTTCTTTAAATGCATACTTACTTTTGACCTCTACTATCTTTATCACTATGGGATTTGATTTGACATTTGCGTCTCTGTGTTAATGTGGTATGGCAACATGAACTTATGTACATACGTACAAAGTTCTACGTTGAAACTGACTGACTGACTAAGAATAAACGGGTTTTTTAATAAATGAATCAGACATAGCTAGTATTCCAAACGATCCCCCAACTAATTAACATGGTTAGTTTCTTCGAATACATTTGATCTTTTAAACAGTTGTCAGTCTATTATAAGTAAAACCTGAAAAGTAGGATTCCCGAAATTACCAAACCAAAATCTGCCGTTGATGTCAGTCAGTCAGTCAGTCAACATAGAACTTCATACATACGTACATAAGTTCAGGTTCTCATACCACATTAGCACAGAGACGCAACTGTCAGTTCAAATCCTATAGTGTTAGAGATAGTAGAAGTATTATCGGCAATGGAGATTAAGGTTCGAAGATATTATTCGAGAAGCATAAGTCAGTGAAATAAATTTAGGAAGATAGAGGTAATGGAGAATTCTGAAGATTAGAATTTGAGATAACACAAAGAGTGCATGCACCTACTCCATTGCAAGCTATTTTGAACCATGTCGTCCAAGGTCTCTAGCTATCTGTGGTTGGGCATTCGTAACATGTGTCCCAATCACCTCAACTGACGAAGTTACATTACTTCATCCATTGATTTGCCATCCCTACCTAGTACTCATCTACTAACTATAGCATTGCTTATTCGGTTGTCCCATGATACACGAGCAATGGTTCAAAGACATCTATGATCGAATACTAATAACTTATGAATATCCTCAACTCTTACCGGCCATGTTTCTCAGTCATTATGTAGGACGGAGGGAACTGCTACGCAGTAGACTCGTTTCTTGGTTTCTATATCCATGCTGAGATTTCTTCAGTCATCAGGCCATTAGCACTAGTGAGACTCCCAAGACAAAGTGAACCGGTCGACACGCTCAACTATTTCACTCCCTATCACTATTTCAGGTGCTAACGCAAGCCAATTTTGAAGCGGCATTTTGCATTTCGAAGGGGAAAACCGCATCCCGAACATCGTCGAAGTATTATCAAGGCTAGCATTTTAGATACTATATTAGTTAGACTAATTCCTCTGTGATTGCCACAAGAGGACTTTTGTCCTTTCTTGTAGAGTGGGACAATCAGGGATCGAGACCAGGTGGATGGGATTATGCCCAGTTCCTAGATTCCCCCTAAGGTCTCAGTCAATCTGACTGCTAAAACTGGACCACCATCCTTAAAAATCCCAAGGGTAAGCCTGTCAGGACTCGCTGCTCTCCCTCGCCTCAGATTTCCTATAGCTTTCTCAACTTCGTAAAGACTCGGAGGACTTAAATTGATTTGCCATTCAGGATGACTAAGAGATCGTGGGCAACCGAAGTGCAAACTTATTAACACTACTAACGTCTAAAAACAAGGTCATTTATAGAGCAATTTGTTCCTGGTTGTCTGACAGAGTAATCCATTTCATAATACTAACATAAGAATTGTGGCTTCACTAAATGTTAACCAGTGAGATTGCAAAGTAGAAATTTGATGCGTAACTCATGTGATAAGTTCAAGTGAATTTTCTGCAAAATCAAGTCTTCTGTCGTCACTTCATTAATGAAATATATTTACTAAATATAAATACTTTTCACTCAGGGCATTCCTTTGGGTTCATTTTCGTATATAAATATTCCGTGTAGACTCTTAAAATGACTAGTTTAAAGTAGGACCTTCAAAATATCCTGTCATTGGGTTTTTATATCATAGATAATGGAATACCCTTACTAACTTTATTCATTGTAGTATGTACATGTAAAACTGAATTCATAGATATAAGAGTATTAGTTACAAATGAATATATGTTATTTGAGTTCTTTATATGATTGAGAAGTGATACGAAAATTTCTCATTGATTGATTCCAATAACAATACTCTAACTTGGGAAACAAGGTCCCATTTGCCTAAAAATGAATTACTTTATCTTAAAGGACAAATAATACCATAACCTTATGCCCATAACCGATTAAGGTGAATCGTTACTCGATCCTGTAATCCGATGTTTGGAGAATGAATGCCCGACCGTAGCTGCTACCTTGACGTGGTGGTCGGGCTTGCCTATTGTGATGACCCAACCGAGCTATATTGGCTGGAACATATGTTCCTGCAGATCGTACCACGCCAGGCAGGTCGATTGGAGAACGATGAGACTAAAAGCAGCTACCCAAAATCTGAGGGCGAAGTCGTACTGCTGACTGCAGAGGGGTGTGACAGCAGTAAGGTGTTTCCCTCGGACAAGCAGCATCTGCAGCGATGCTGCCTTCTCACAAGGAAGGAAGGGTTAGAAAAGGTCGACCCTAAAAATGTCACACCTCACCCTACCTCACGGATTTTCGTCTCCGGCGGTAAGGGTGCCCACTAACGGCCTTTAAGAGCAGTCAGTCAGTCAGTCAGTTGCAACGTAGAACTTCGTACGTATGTACATAAGTTCATGTTGCCATACCACATTATTAGCACAGAGACGCAAATGTCAAATCAAATCCCATAGTGATAAAGATGGTAGAGGTATTAATGTTATAATAAAGAAGACTAGGGTTTAAGATATTATTCAAAAAATATAATTCAGTGAGATAAGGTTAGAAAGACAAAGGTAGAGGTGCTGGCTAATCCAGAACATTAGGATTTGAGAGAGCTCAAAGAGTGGATGCACCTGCGCCATTGCAAACGATTTTGAGCCATGTCGTTCAAGGTCTCTAACCATTGATGACTTTCGTCTCGCGGACCCCAACCAGGTAGTCTACATCTACCAACATGACTCTGTCCACTTGTCAGTGACTTCATGGATTTCTGCCATGTTTTGGTCTGGCCGCCCCTAGCTTTCTTCCAACCTACTCCTACACCACAAAACATAGCTCGCCGAGGCAGTCGGTGGTTAGGCATACGTAACACATGTCCCAACCACCTCAACTGATGAAGTTTCACCACTTCATCTATTGATCTGCCATCCTTACCTAGTACTCGTTTCCTAACGACAGCATTGCTTACTCGGCTGTCCCACGATATACGAGCAATGCTTCTTAAACATCTATGATCGAATACTAGTAAGCTACGAACATCTTCTACTCTTAACGGCGATGTTTCACAGCCATATAAGAGAACGGAACGAACTGCTGCGCAGTACACCCGCCCTTTGGTTAGCGAACGGATATCACGCCTACGCCATAAGTGACGCAGCTTGGCAAAAGCCAATCGAGCTTTCTGTATCCGAGCTGAGATTTCGTCAGTCACCAGACCGTCAGCACTGATGAGACTCCCCAGATAAGTGAAGTGATCTACACGCTCGACTACTTCACTCCCTATCACTAGTTCAGGTGCCGAAGCAACCCAGTCTTGAAGCAACATTTTGCATTTCGAGGGGGAAAACCGCATCCCGAACATGCTCGCATTGTTGCTTATGGTAGTCAGAAGACTCTGCATTTTGTCAGCGTCTTCACCGAATAGAACTATGTCATCGGCATATTCTAGATCAGTAAGCGACTTTCCTGGTAGAAGGTCAACCCCTGAAAAATCTGACGAGCTTAATGTTAACTCTAAGAGGATGTCTACGACAAAGTTGAACAAGAATGGAGAGAGTGGACAGCCCTGACGGACACCACTTGATGTAGAGAATCCCGATGACAGTTCGCCATATGCTCTCACCCGACCAGTGGTGTTCGAGTAGAGTGCTTGTATAAGGTTAATGTACTTCTTTGGTACACCTTTCAATGACAGACACTGCCACAGAACCTCACGATCCACTGAGTCGAATGCCGCCTTAAGGTCCAGGAACACGACTATTGTCGGACGTCTAAATGTGTGTCTGTGTTCCAGGACCTGTCGTAGTGTGAAGATGTGGTCTATACAACCACGTCCAGGTCGAAAACCAGACTGGTTTTCTCGAGTCTGCTCTTCACGAGCTCTAGTTAGACGTCTAAGTATAATCGAGGCTAACAATTTAGAAACTATATTAGTTAAACTTATTCCCCTGTGATTGTCACAAGAAGACTTCTGTCCTTTCTTGTAGATTGGGACAATTAGCGACTGAGACCAGTCAGATGGGATTACGTCCATTTCCCAGATTCTACCTAGGATCTCGGTCAGTCTAACTGTTAAAACTGGACCACCATCCTTAAACATCTCAGGGGTAAGCCTATCGGGACCTGCCGCTCTACCTCTCCTTAGATTTCCTATAGCTTTCTCAACTTCATGTAAACTGGGAGGACTTAAATCGATTTGCCATTCAGGATGACTGGAGATCGTGGGCAACCGAAGTGTGGCTGAAGGCCAGTTGAACTGATCCCTAAAGTGTTCTGCCCATCGGTCCAGCCTCCTAGATTGAGAATGGATAATAAGACCATCCTTTTCCGAGATAGTCTCACTCACATTCGGGTTCCTAATACCGGTTTCTTTGATAAGGCGGAAAAGTTGTCTAGTGTTGCCTATCGCCGCTACCTTTTCCATCGCTTTTGCTTTCGCCACCCACCACTGTTCACGGTCGTTACGTAGGCTTTTTATAAGTCTGCGCCTAAGTTGAGTACGCTCTTCATCATGTTCAGAGTCAGGTGGGATGCGTTTTCGTGCATCCATCAGTTCGGTGGATGCGACTGAAATCCACGGCTTCATCCTAGCCTTATGGTTTACCTTGCTAGCAGATATCACTGCTGTTTCCACAGCCTTCTTTATATCATTCCAACCTGACTCCGGATGGGAATCACTTGCATGATCGCCCAACTGTTTTTCTAGTTCCTCCTGAAATATTTTCTTAGCTTGATTATCATCAAGTAAAGCCCTAAGAGGCTTCCTTACGGTGTCTTTCCTACGTCCAGCAAGCCCCAAACAAATACGTGCTCGCACTAGAGCATGATCTGAATCTAAACATGTGCCCCAGAACGAGCGACAGTCCTCTATCGAACCCCTCCATCGGTGGCTGATGGCGATATGATCTAGTTGTGTCCAACGTTGAGACGACTTCGGGGGTCGCCAGGTCCAAAGGTGTTTTTCCTTATGCTTAAAATTAGTGTTTGCTAGAAATAGTTGGTTATCTGAGCACAGTTGCAACAGACGGTCGCCATTGTCTGTTCTTTGAGCCGCGAGACCGTAACATCCACCTAGGTGTCTTTCATTTTCACTTAGTCTACCTACTTGTGCATTGAAGTCACCAGCCATTATAACTATATCAGAGCGCTTAACGTTTTGGAGGAGGTCCGAAAGCTTTCTGTAAAACTCATCTTTTACATCATCTGGGCTGCAGTCAGTGGGGGCGTAGGCTGATATGACGAAGAGGCAACGGCGAGTGTCCCTATCCTTACGAGTCCTTACTGTCCCGTTTAGTCGGACAGCGCACAAACGACTATCTATTGGGATCCAGTCAAGGAGAGATTGTTCTGCCCTATGACTTAATGCTATACCTACACCGGCGAGGCCCCTAGAAGCAGCATCAGGGCTACCGGATACACGAAGAGTAAATCGAGCTGCTTCTTTATCTTGACATGGTGAGGTCAAATGAGTGATGCTACTCGGATCCTGTATGCGCGTTTCCGAGACGCAGCACACATCGATGGCACGAGATTCTAAAGTCCTAGCTAATGACGCCTGTTGCCCTATTTGACACAATGTCCGTACATCAAATGCTCCAACATGTAGTTTGGAACGGGGTTTAAGGAGACCAGGAACGATGTTTCGCAAACTCGCATCGTTTGCATTAGCTGTGCACTGTAATAAATGAATGTGAGAAGAGTTAGTTGTGGAGATAAGAGAGGTATTAGGGAATGTAGGAAGGATTTGATTTTGAACAATTTTGTCTCGTGTGCTGTTGCGGGTATGAGGGCGGTTATCACTTCCCGGCTGCCCACACCGTGGAAGGTTGTTTCTTGACGAACCTGAAAAGGAAGATGGATTAGTGTTGGTGCGTGACCGCAGAGCCCAAGGGACAGCTGCTTGAGGCCGGTCACGCACGGCCTTTTTATGAGAGGTATTTAGAGGATTAGCTCCGTTCTTAAAGGCCCTTAGTGGGCATCCTTACCCAAGGAGACGGAAATCCGTGAGGTAGGGGAGGTGTGACATTTTTAGGGCTGACCTTTTCTAACCCTTCCTTCCTTGTGAGAAGGCAGCATCGCTGCAGATGCTGCTTGTCCGAGGGAAACACCTTACTGCTGTCACACCCCTCTGCAGTCAGCAGTACGACTTCGCCCTCAGATTTTGGGTAGCTGCTTTTAGTCTCATCGTTCTCCAATCGACCTACCTGGCATGGTAGGACCTGCAGGAACATATGTTCCAGCCAGTATAGCTCGGTTGGGTCATCACGATAGGCAAGCCCGAACACCACGTCAAGGTAGCAGCTTCGGTCGGGGCCTTTAAGAGCGGATCTAATACTCAAAATACCTTTCATAAAAAGGCCGTGCGTGACCGGCCTCAAGCAGTTGTCCCTTGGGCTCTGCGGTCACACTCCAGGGTCTCCAAGACCAACACTAATCTATCTTCCTTTTCAGGTCCCTCAAGAAACAACCTTCGACGATGTGGGCAGCCGGGAAGTGACAACCGCCCTCATACCCATAACAGCACGAGAGACCAATCTGGTCGAAATCAAATCCTTCCTACACCCACACATACCTCTCTTATCTCCACAACTAACTCTATTCACATTACCTTATCTGACTGCACCGCTAATGCAAACGATGCGAGTTCACGAAACGTCATTCCTGGTCTCTTGAAACCCCGTTCTAGACTACATGTTGGAGCATTTGATGTACAGACATTGTGTCAAATAGGGCAACAGGCATCATTAGCTAGGACTTTAGAATCTCGTGCCATCGATGTGTGCTGCGTCTCGGGGACGCGCATACAGGATCCTATTAAAATTATTAATCTGATTTCACCTTGTCAAAATAAAGAAGCAGCTCGATTTACTCTTCGTGTATCTGGAAGCCCTGATGCTGCTTCCAGGGGTCTTGCTGGCGTAGGCATAGCATTGAGTCGTAGAGCTGAACAATCTCTCCTTGACTGGACCCCAGTAGATAGTCGCTTGTGCGCTGTCCGACTAAACGGGACAGTAAGGACTCGGAAAGATAGGGACACTCGTCGTTGCCTCTTCGTCGTATCTGCCTATGCTCCCACTGACTGCAGTTCAGACGAGGTGAAAGATGAGTTTTACAGAAAGCTTTCAGACCTCCTAAAAGCTAGGCGCTCTGATATAGTAATAATGGCTGGTGACTTCAATGGTGGGACATGTTTTATGTATGCCTAACCACCGACTGCCTCGACGAGCTATGTTTTGTGGTGTAGGAGTAGGTTGGAAAAAAGTTAGGGGCGGCCAAACCAAAACATGGCAGAAATCCATGAAGTCACTGACAAGTGAACTTAGCCATGTCGGTAATTGTCGACTACCTGGTTGGGGTCCGCGAGATGATATTAATCAATGGTTAGAGACCCTGAATGACATGGCTCAAAACCGTTTGCAATGGCGCAAGTGCATTCGTTCTTTGTGTTCTCTCAAATCCTAATCTTCTGGGTTCTCCAACTCATCTAGTTTTGACTTTCTAGACTCTTCTCACTGAATCATACTTGAATAATATCTTCTAATCCTAACCTCTCGGATTACTTCTAATACCTTTACTACCTCTTCTACTATTGGATTTGAATTGACATTTATATCTCTGTGCTGATGTGGTATGGCAACATGAACTGGTGTACTACGTTGTATCTGACTGACTTAAATTCTGTAAATCCTTTTCACTAATTTTTGTTATTCACCAAATGTTAACTGTACATGTTATTGAATAACAATCCTCTTTTCAGCCTTTCGATTTTATTTTTATTATGGATTCCTTTATTTATATTGTAGGTTGAAGAAGAAATCCGTCTCCTTCAAGAAACTCTTGTTGTTAAGCAGCGTCGATCTAATGAGATTAAAAAATCTCTCGGTTTTGTTACACTTTCCACATTGCAGTATGACGTTATGGAAGGTATTCATAAATTAGAAGACACAGATGCGTAAGCGATACACATATTATGGGTTTTCTGTTCTTCCTTCAATAGTTTTCTTTTAAATGCTACGCTTATAGAACTGATCGTATTCTATATGTGACTATACCACTATCTTTAAAATTCCATTTGTGAATGGAACCTAGGTTGTCTCAGTAAAAAGATAGTTATGGTTCTGATCATTGCTAACCCACTTTTTTTACAGTGCGTTTACTCATAAATATCCTCGTAGAAATACCAGTTTTACTTTGACCTACCACACTCTTTCATTGCTTTGACGAAAACACTGAAAGTCCCGGCTCTTTTGAAATCCGTCAGTGATAGTACAAAACCTATAATACAATCCTCATTCATCACAGTGTTTCTTCAGTATCGATCTCCATCGAGTAAGCAATGTTGGGGTTTGGAAAAGAGTATTAGGTAAAGATGACAAATCAATTGACGAAGTAGTGAATCTTCATAAACTAAGGTGGTTGGGACACGTCTAATATACCCAACCATTGTTTACTTCAGTGAGCGATGTTGTTTGATGTAGGAGTAAGCTAGAAGAAAGCTAGGGGCGACCAGATCAAAACATGTCACTAGTTCACAAAGTCATGGGGAATCAGACTAAACTATATTAATAAGTGTAGACTACCTGATTGAGGCCCGTGTGACAATCGTAACCGATGATTAAAGACTTTGAATGACATCATTTTGCAATGGCACAGATGCCTCCACTTTGTCTTCTATCCGATTCTAGTCAAATTCTGTTTAAATTGATTTCACTAGATTATACTTCTCGAATTATACGTTCGATGACCGCTAATACTACTACAACAACCTCTGCTACTGTGGTTTTTAAACTTAACATATCATATGTCTGCTAATTTAGTATGGCAACTTTAATTGATGTTCATGCATGCCTAGTTCTACGTTGCAGCTAACTTACCATTGATATCGCAATAGTTTATCTGTCTTCATCGAATTTCGCATTATTCAACATTATCCATTCCCAGACTAAATCTACTCCTTTTGATTCATATTGCCTGTGTTTAAAATTTCATTATTTCTTCATTTTATTCTATCCCCCCCTGTGTTAATGTAAGACTTGATAACTTGTAATAATGCATACTTATATTAATCTATATGTTGTTTTGATGTCTTGTTTTTTTTCCAATTATTTAACCTAATTCTAATAATTGATTCATTAAAATATGTCTATAGTGAAGTTGGTTAAAAGGTAAAAAAAAGGTTGTAAATTCTTATTGACTGCGCAGAGTTAAATATCATAAATTTAGTAGTATAGTTATTTTTTTTATTAGAGTTGTTGTTTACTGATGAATTTTTTTCTTTCCATCTTCATTTTCTACACTTTTTCTCATCCATCTTTTCTCTTCAATGCAGATATATCAAAACAAGTGAACTTTTAAGTAAAGCCAAAGATAAAACTGTCAATGTAGCACAAGATGCAAAAGAAAAAGTTGAATCAACAATTTCTGCTATTCGGTAAGGTTAAAATTTCACTTTTATTATAATTATTTCTTATTCAAGGAATTCAGAAGTTGTGAAATCATTGAATGATAAAGTTGGTTCTGCTTATTCAACAGTTAAAGTAAGTTCTCTTTTATTTTTTTTTCAAAATAATTATTGTTTATCTGTATGTGTGTGTGTGTGTATGTTCTTGAGGTCAGTATGAAAATTCTGTTTGTTGTGTGTATGTATGTCATTGATAATAGGTATTTTGATCAAATTTTCCAATTATCAGTTTAATTAATGCGTATCGACATAGGATCATCCTCTTTGATCTAAAAACAAAATCTTTTGAAATCTATATTATAATTACTCTTTTATTGACTCCCGTATGCAAAAATATCGACTGGGTTTGAAAGTTACACTATAACAAGGATAGATTTGAAAAAATTACCTCTATTAATTCAATAATTGTCATTATTCAATTCAATCCCAGGTTAGCGACAGAAGCGACTTAGGAGCTTCACTCTCTTGATGTCCTGTTGAGAGGGAGCCAGATAGTTCTTTTAAAAGATTTATATATATATATATATATATATATATATATATATATATATATATATATATATATATATACTGATTCCCATAGCTGGATCGTTTTAAGCAAAAAACGAAATTTGATTCACTTTATGCCCTAGGACTAGGAGAATGTGTTCTCATGACATTATCAATGATGAATTACTACTGTTTCAGCAGATACTCATCAAAAATGGCTATCCACTCAGTTTCTTCGAAAGGAATTTAACACCAAGACTTTGACAATAGGAACTCACGGTTAGAGACTTTGAATGACATGGCTCAACATTGTTTGCAATGGTGCTGGTGCATGCATTGTTTGTATTCTCGCAAATCACTTCCTAAGTACATCTCAGAACACTACTTGGCTTAGTTTTTATTCTGATCAACTCTGTGTGTTTATTTTTTATCAGTATTATCAGTGTATCTTTGGTGACAATTCTTGTGATCGTAATGTTTTATTTGATCTACCTAACTTGTTTACTGGTAGGGGTGTTGACCGATTGAATGGTGTCTTAAGATCATGATTTACATTGATATTGACACATGATGTCCATTGATCCAGATTGACTTAGTTTTAATTCCAGAGACTATAAACAACATACTGTATATTGTATATATACATACATTTCATATGTATTTTTTATTCATGTGATTTGAAGTCAGTCACTGCCATTTTATTACTTTCGTTTTAATCAGTTTGTATCATATAGATTCACTTGATATTTTGTATTCCTCAATTAATTAATTAATTATTTATAAATATTGTCTGAATGTGTACAAAATGCAGTCGTGGTTTTTGATGATACAATATTTAATGTAAATAGTTTGATCACTTCCACTATTTCGGTGAATAGATTAAAAAAAAATTATTCAATAGGTTTAGTGTTGTTGTTGGTAAATGAACGTGTATCCGTTTTTCATTAATAAACATTACATATATTGGAATGAATATGTTAGTACATGTTAATTTTTAGTTTTATTACCTCGATTCTTTAATGGTTTAGGTTTTCATTTGAAATTCACGTTTGGCCACGATTTCATACTGTTGAGCATGATTTGTAGACTGTAATATATATATATATATATATATATATATATATATATATATATATATATATATATATATGCATATATGTCTGTAACTAGTTCCAATACCTACTTTAAGTATAAATAGGGTTCGCCCGTTTTTGTCGGAATAAAACCACCGTACGCCAGTCAGCTACAACATAGAGCTTCGTACATACGTGCATCAGCTGGAGTTTCCGTACCACGATAGCACAGAGATTCAATCGTCAATTCGGGTCCAATATTAGTAGAGATAGCAGATGATTAGGGTACGAAGAAATTACCCAAGAAGTAAAACCTAGTGAAATCAATTTAAAACGGGAAAAACGGTTATGAGGATTTCGGGAAATTAGAATTTAATAAAAAACAAACAATGAATGCCTCTACCTTATTGAAAGTGATTTTGAGCAATATCTTTCAGTCTCTAACAATCGGTTACTATTGTCTCGTTGGCCCCAACCATATGGTCTGCACCGACCAATAGGGCTCAGTCCATTTATCAGTGACTTCATGGATTTGTGCCGTGTTTTGGTCTGGCTGCCCCTCACTTTCTTCCAACCTACTCCTACACCACAAAACATCTCTCGAGGCAGTCAGTGGTTGAGCATACGCATGCCATTTCCTAACCACTTCAACTGATGACGTTTTACCACTTCTACTCATCTACCATTCTTACCCAATACCCCTTTCCTAACACTAGCATTGCTTACTCAGTTGTCCCAGGATATTCGAGCAATCCTTCGAAGATACCTATGATCGAATACTAGTAACCAAAAATATCCTTTACTCTGACTGGCCATGTTTCACACTCGTATAGTAGGATGGAGTGAACTGCCTGCGCTATAAGTGACGCAAGTTGGCAAAAGCCAATCGGACGTTGTGCATCCTTATCGTGATTTCATCAGACACCCAAATAGGTGAAGCGGTCAACACGCTCGGTTACGTCACTTCCTATCACTAGTTCAGGTGCTGACACAAGCCAGTCCTGAAGCAACATTTTGCATTTCGAGAGGGCGAATCGCATCCCGAACGCTCGCATATTTCTTTAAGTTGGTCCGTAGATTCTATATTTTGTCAGCGTGTCCACCAAACTGAACTATGTTACTGGAAAAGTCAAATGAAGATCGTGTTGTCTCCAAATGCATGTCTATGACAGTGTTGAGTAAGAATGGAGAAAGTGGATAACTTTGACGAACGCCACTAGAAATAATGAATTCCGATGACAGTTCGCCATAAACTCTCACTCAAGTTGTGGGGTTTGAGTAGAGAGCTTGTATAAGATTATTTTACTTCTCTGGTTTACCTTTCAGTGACAGAAATCCAGCTTCTCCCTAACCTTTACCTTACTGGCAGACATCACTGTTGTTTCCACAGCTTTTTGGATATCATTCCAAGATTCCCTAGGGTTGAGTGTCAATTAAGTGGATGCCTAATTGTTTTCCTAATTGCTCCTGAAATATACTCCTGGCTTTGCTATCGTTCAGTAGGAAAAAAAGAACAGTATGATTTAAAATTTAAAATGATTGACTGTGATACAAATTTGTAACTAGTATAGTGGTCGTATTTTTTGTGCATATAAAATATAGTTTTTTTATACCTCGGGGTTTCTCTTCATCTTGAAGAATATACAATGGTTTTTACTCTTCAGTTGAAAAATTCTTCAGCTCTTCATCTTAAATACATATGTATTTGTGGTGACCCTCCAGTTAGAAACTAGCACGTAGGTATATTGAAATGTAAACTAGGAATACTTTCGCTGATAAAAAGGAATGTGGATAAACTTCGTCTTATCAAGTTTATGTTATAGGGATCAGATCTTTTAGCATCATACATCTGTACGCCATTCCATTATAAGTTCAACAATTTCCTTGGTTCTAATTATAACCGCTATCTTATGAACTGCTGATTGGTCATTATAGGTGACGCTTAAGATACATTTTCCTTTAAAAATCTTATTATGTCTAATGATCTTGTTCGACTGATACAGCTTCAGTGGGTTCGCATTTATTTAATAATCTCTGCCTTTCTCCTTGTAAATTTTTCTTACTGAATTATACTTCTCGAATCATATCTTCGCTCCCTAATCTTCTCCATTACTGCTAATACTTCTACTATTGCTATCACTCTTATATTTGAACTGACAGTTGCGTCTCTGTGCTGATGGGGCATGGCAACCTGAACTGATGTACGTACGTACGAAGTTCTGCATTGTATTTGTCTATCTGTCTAATTGATAATAATTGTTCATTGGTTGTTAACAACAACCTTAATTGAATGAAATATCTCATAAAACAGCATTCACATTTTCTATTAGTCTGTCAGTTCGTACTTTAGTGTTAGTAAAACTTCCATCGTGTGTAAAAACTGTTCACCTCATACTGTGTTAAATATTGGAAAGTAGTCAATTAAAAATGTGGGATCAATATATATATCGTCAAATGTTCATAATAAATGGTTTGCACCTTAGAATAAGTTCAGGGAACGTCTGGTATTCTCTCAGTTTCGCTATTAACTTATGAACTATTCATCAGGTTTTGTATGTTCATCAATACTATATTTATAAAAATGCGAATGTCCAAATAATGTTTTGCTGACCTTAATACCTAATTAAATTTTGAATGGATAATATTTTACATACGTATTGAGGTGTTGGATCTTAATTTATCATTACATCGTGGATTTTTATTGGTTTGAAGTGATTTTCTAATCATTGGTTGATGTGTCTAACCAGGTACACATATTCCTTAATACAGTCACATAGTTTTCTGTTTACCTTTATTCTTGATACTTTGAATGCAATGGAGTTGTTTTCAAGCAACGATGATTATCAATTGTTCTTACAATACCGCCTCTTCAAATCCCATAACCGCATAATAAATATAACAGGTTGTGTATTTTAAATTTAATCACACAATAATTCTTATTTGAAGTTTGTGTAGAGGATAAATCGAGAACTATCATTAGTTCCATTGTTTACACTCTTTTTCCGTATTTATTGTTAATTTCTCACTTTATATTCATGTTGCATGTAACAATCTATGGTTAACCGATCAATTTATTTCTACTTGTACTGCATCATTTACTTAATCAAGTTTAAAATAAATTCAATGTAAGTATTTATTCTTCACAGTTATAATAATTGTTCATTTTTTGGTTTTTTTTAATATTTTACAACTTTTAATTAATATATGATATGATACTAATGTGTATGATTGTTTCCAGATACTTTGTATGGACAAATTTCCTCATCTACCAGCAATTACATGGATTCCCTCTAAGGACGGGATTCGTGTGCGTTTATGTGAATCTGTTCCACAGTCTTTAAGATATATACTACATGTGTCGTCTATGAGTGTTACTCTGTATCGTCATTGTTGTAGTTTTTGTTTGTGATTGTTTGTTTGTGTATATGTTTCGTTGTACATATTATATAGTGTTACTTTGTTGACATTATATATTATACATGATCAGATGTAATTTGTAGAATATGTATACATACTTTTGATATATTGGTGTGTCTATTGTTATCCGCTTTATGCAAACAACAGACAGATAATTGTTGTTGTTCAGGCACGCAACAGTTATTTTATTAGTTAACAAGGCTTATTTAGTGAGATACACTTTTCTAACTAACTAAACATAGTTTCGTATACTTTGGCTTTTTTATGATGATAGTTTTGTTTAACTGAAAAACTAGAATTTTTGTAAAATTATCATTAAACTAGTAGAATAATCTTAAACATTGACATAAACAGTAAAATTTGGATGTTGTTCCACTTTATTCTGTTCTTTTTATAGTGGCCTCAACTATTTTCTTAATATGTTGTTTCCGGTTATAGTTGAGTGTAAGACGACGACTGTGTACGCTCAGCATGACTTCCATATTGCGAACACAAACTTTTTCGGTTTTCATTAGCTAACTGTGTTATAAATGAAAAGTGATATATAGAGTTCGCTCGCTACAAGCTAGTATAAGTTGAACTGAATAACACTTGATATATTAATCAATCAATAATAATTTTATGAATGATCATAATTTACTGCTATAACCGACAAGTGTAACTCAATTGATCAGTTTGTTATACATAATTTCGATTCACCTATTGATTTCGATCGATCACTTATTTATTCACGTACATTAGACATGCCTATTTCGATTATTTATTGTTTATTACTCCTTGATCGACGTGTGTCCATTGTATATCTGTCTGTATACTTTACTCGTGATATAAGTTGATGATATCATTTGTATTACGGAGTTGTGAAGATTGTTAAATTACACATTTTTGAAACCATGAATCGATCAATGTTAGACCACCATTAGTCGTGGATGAGCACTGCTGAGGAGTCCCATACCAGAACGAAACAGCCGTCCAGTGCTTCCAGGTTTCTAATGGTGATCTAACATTGATCGATTCATGGTTTCAAAAAAGA